AAATATTTCAGTTTCTGAGACACGATGCTGTTTACTGGCCAATCTTATTTATGCATCAAGGGTAATAGAATGATACACATGATTTATATTTATATATTTATTTATATTATATATATATATATATATATATATATATATATATATATATATATATATATATATATATATATATATATATATATATATATATATATATATATATATATATATATATATATATATATATATTTTATATATATATATTTATATATATATTATATATTATATATATATATATATATATATATATATATATATATATATATATATATATATAACTTATATATATATATATTTGTGTATGTTCATTACTTATATACATATATATATGTGTGTGCATTACTAATATATGTGTGTGCATTACTTATGTATGTGTGTGTATATTTGCATTATTTATATGTGTGTGTGTATGTGCATTACTTATATATATATGTGTGTGTGTGTATATATATATATATATATATATATATATATGCATTACCTATATATATGTGTAATTACTTACATATATATGTGTGTGTATATATATATGTGCATTACTTATATATATATATATGTGTGTGTGTATATGTACATTACTTATATTATATGTGTGTGTGTGTATGTACACTACTTTTATATATATGTGTGTAGGTGTATGTGCATTACTTACAGTACTTTTCAATTTCAATGACTAAAAAGAACCTATTCTCAAAAGGCAAGAATCACAGTAAGTTATCAACATGTACCAACCTCTGATGTGATCAGTTTTTCATTAATGCGTCTGAAAGCTGAAATGGCTGTTGATGAAATCATCGAGCTATTGGAGGATTCTGCGTAAGGCAGAATAATACCAACTGTGCTGCCTAGACCTGCATTGCCCAATGCCCGAAGATACATTAGGACACACTTTTCATCCTCATCACACTTGGACAGGCCGGATGTGATAACTGTTCGAAACTCAGCAACTATCTGTAAAATAATAGATTATTTTTAAAAGTAAGTTGCTAATCTTCTACAGGACATAACAAACCAGTTACAGCCTATTTTGACTGAATCAAACCCAGTTTGTTGAAATTATCAAACTGTGTCTATAACAGCGAGAAGATAATTGAAATAAAAAAACTAAAAAAAAACTAAATGAGGCCTTGTCAGAAACCCTTAGGCAGTTTTGTCCTACTGCTTATGGCCTAAATCATCGCAGAAAGGAGTTATGTGGTAGTTTCCATCTTTTGCTAGTTATGTACCTTGTGTTAATGTCATCCTGCATTTTGGTAGTGTCTCTTTAATTCCCTCCACCTCTCTCTTTCTTGACTAGTCCTTAGACTCAGAGCCTACTGTTCTGCTGTATGGAGTAATATGGACAGCTGCTTTAACAATATTTCAGTATTTTTATATTACATTATTATAATATTATTAATAATTTTATTATATTATATTTTTATTATTATATCAATATTTTCAGTATTATAAAACCCAACCAGTTTTCATATTTGTAGTATTACATCTTTGCCTGGTCTACCAACTTTGTCTACAAAGATGCCTAAACATGTCAATGTTCCTACACTATTTACGCTTTAATTTCCTCTAGTTACTCTAATTATGCTCTAATTACACTAATTATACCATAATAACTATTTGCTTACACTCATTGTACTCAAATTACATTGCCAACATTATTTCAAAGTTTCCCATGTCGGTTCTGGGGCCCCATTGTGGGGAAAACCATAACCCCACTGTCTCTCCAACAAGCTGTCACAGGAGTTGACTAATTGAGGGCTTTCTTCAAAGTCGGAGTACATCTGCCTGAGTGGCAAGGAACCACCAACAGCACATAGATAAGCCAGTAAAATGGATGGACACGCAAAACTCAGGACCTTGCACAAAGCCAAAGTCTGAATGGACAAACAACCAGGACTTTTCCCCGTAGCTCACAACCGGTGAACAAAGAAGAAAAGGGAGATTTCTAAGCACCCTGCTTACACATCTTTTGCATTGTTTGCACTATTATTACACTGATACTACTTACTCTGCATGCATACTCAATTACTCCACTCACACCAATGTATCTGCTTTCACTCTAATCTATACTAAATCTCCACTGGACAGATTTCAGATCCACAACTCAGACAAGAGACCAAGCAAGATAATGTATCCAATTTTATAAGAAAGCACCACTGGAACTTCATCAGCCATGCACTCAAATGGATGTGACCAGACTTCCCCATCAAGCCCTCATAAGGATGCCAAAAGGGAAAAGAAAACGTGGAAAGAAAGAGAGATCCTGCATAGAATCATCATCAGGAAAGGCTCAACCATGGGCCTTATGAACATCCAAGACATAAAACAGGTGGCAATGAACCACCAGATAAGGAAAGCTAGGACCTCTGTCCTATGTGCAGCATTAGGCTCAAGAGGAAAGAAAACTAACTAACACACTAATCCCTACACACACAAGACATGTACTCACAGGTGAGCCACACTGATCCCTGGTCTGACAAAATGTGTACACAATGGCACTAAGGGAGAGCAGCAACGATTCCTGTAATCTGTCATTGGGTACTGGCTTTTTCCACACAGACTGTCCCGAAGAAACAGATGTAAACTGGTTAGAACCTAAATGTATGTGTGTATGTAAGTCCACCAGGATATTACACAAGCGATAAACACCCGGTGAACCACATGCCTCCATGTGGATGAGGATCACCCGTGGAGAGGTCCCAGAAATTTGGTTCAGCAGTTAGGCCATAATTATGGCCCGGCTATATTTAGGACCCCCGGCAAAAACCAAGGTGGGGCTTCAAATAACAAAAAATTACATCCCACTTGAAGACGACATTTAACCTGCTGAAAACTGCATGCCACGTAATAGAACTTCATTATGTATTTCATTAGTATGGAAATCTTTTGAAGTAACAATAACATGTGACTAAAAAGGTTAATACAGTGCTTTTAGAGATATTAAAAATGTGTACAAATAATTTTTAAAAAAAGTAAAGGACCCTTTTCCCCGCCTTTAGGCGTATAGGGCTAGACCTATATTTTTATAGACCAATCCCATCAAGATGGGTGATGTGGTCAGCATCACGCCGGCCGGTACAGATAATGAACAACAGAAATTTAAATTTGAATTTTTTTTTTTTTTTTCAAACATGTCTGATATTAAAATGTGTACAAACAATCAAAGACAAAAATCAAAACTTGTAAAGACACTTTAACATTCTTAAACACGCATGTGTGATACAAAAAATGTGTACAGTTAAAAAAACAGAAATCAAAGCGGATAGTAAAGACATTTTAAAATGACACTTTCAAACATGTGATTAGATATGACTATATATATAATCATCATCTTCCTCCTTGTGCTGTTAAGCATCATGAGGACTAACAATTTGTCGTCCAGTGCACAATGGGTGGCAATGACCATTGTCATTCTGTATGGATTTACACTATACATAGATAATGAAGGACAGAAATCAACACAAACAAGGAGAAACACTTTGACATGACTTAGAACATGTTGTATAAAAAATATGTACAAATTTAAATAAAACAGAAATCAAAGCCAATAATTACAGATATTCTAAGATGATAGTTAAAATGTGTGGTATAAAAAATATGTACAAATGAAAATAAAACAGAAATAAAAGCCAACAATGAAAGATATTTTCAGATGATAGATAAAATGTGTGGTATAAAAAATATGTACAAATGAAAATAAAACAGAAATAAAAGCCAACAATTACAGATATTCTAAGATGATAGATAAAATGTGTGGTATAAAAAATATGTACAAATGAAAATAAAACAGAAATAAAAGCCAACAATTACAGATATTCTAAGATGATAGATAAAATGTGTGGTATAAAAAATATGTACAAATGAAAATAAAACAGAAATAAAAGCCAACAATTACAGATATTCTAAGATGATAGATAAAATGTGTGGTATAAAAAATATGTACAAATGAAAATAAAACAGAAATAAAAGCCAACAATTACAGATATTCTAAGATGATAGATAAAATGTGTGGTATAAAAAATATGTACTGATAAGTTAAAAAAAAAAAGTAAAAGACTCTTTTTCCCGCCTTCAGGCATACTGGGTATATAGGGTTAAACCTATATTTTATAGACCAATTGGCCCTCAGTGGGTGATGTGGTCAGCATCATACTGGTCGCCTTTACTTCCCAGGACTGTACCTAGTACCAACTCAAGGCTAGGTTGATCTGAGAGCCAAAGTCATTTTTGAAAAGAAAAAAAAAAGACGACTCAAACAGGACCTGAACCAACGACCTTCCAATACGCAGGCGAGCATCTATCTACTATACCACAGCGGTTCTCATATGTACAGATAAAAATACAAAACGTGAAGCTACCAAGTAAAGAGAACTTAACATAGCTCTTAAATAACAGCTCAGTCAAAAAGTACCACAGCTGCCTCCTTACCAGCAAATCTGTTATTAATGACTCTGATGGGTGGGAGGAATATGCAGCAGCAAACAAAAACCTTTGAGGGTGATCTACAGCATCAGCATTCTCAAAGTCCAGCAGCTCAAGGAGAGCTTCCCTGGCAGGCTCAGTCTGAGCAGCAGCTGCCACGTCTATCAACTGTGGACTGAGAAATTGAGTCTGTTTAGTTCGGCTTCTTTTTCTTCGCAGGGACCATCTGTAAACCCTAAAGCAGTGGTTCTCAACCTGCCAAATGCCATGAATCTTTAATATATTTCCTCATGTTGTACTGACCCCCAGCCATAAAATTATTTTCATTGCTACTTCATAACTTCAGTGAATATGTGTCTTAGGCGAGCCCTGTGAAAGGGTTGTGACCCATAGGTTGAGAATCGCTGCCCTAGAGGAAAGCTCTGGTTGTCTGACCATTTAGTCCGTGATTTCAGTATTGCCTGCATATTTACTTTACAGATCTGGCTTATTAGTGTGCAGACTGTTGATTCCTCACCTCTCTGTCAGATGCACTTTGACTTCATGAAAGTGTCGATCCTAAGCTGGCCAAGAAATGGACAGGACTAAATTATCATACACTTTTTCATCAAACAGAAGACAGAGAAAGATGGCAGGTTTTATGCGCTAGTGCTTCCTTTGTTGCAACCTGTTTCTAGGATAACTGTGGAAGTGTAGATAGGTCTTGACACCACCAGGTGAGATTTAACATCTCTGCCTCCCTGTCTGGTTAGTTGTAGCACAGATAAAAGAAGAAAAGACCCTTTTCCATGCCTTCAAATGTATTGGCCATATAGAGCTATACCTAAATTTGACAGACCAATTGACTCTTGGTGCATGATGTGGTCAACACTATGCCGGCCGCATTTACTTCCAGGATTACATCTGGAACCCACTTAAGGGTGGGTCAACTTGGCAGCCAAGATCATTTTGAAAACAAAAACGCCCAGCTTCATCAGGACCACAACCCTTGACCATCCGATCCGCAGGCGAGCATCTAGCAGCTACACGGGATAAATAGATAGACTGCTCGTGCAGCACAGACGATTCGGGCTAAAACACCTGCAGTCAACATGAGTATTTCATAGACATGAAAGATCATCAATGTTAAGGTGTGTGCAGATCTGAAGAGTGTTGTAGATAGGAAAGGATATATGCAGTGACAAGATTAGGTGACTTCTGGACCATGTCATTATCACTGTCTTCTTCCTCTGATTCACTTCCTCTTTCTTCACTTCAGAAGATGAGGGAGATATGAGGTTCTGCTTCTGGCTCTTTTGACTGCCTCGAAAATAAACACATCATTCAGAGTTTCTCTGATGGCATCACAAGGCAAACCACTTGATTTGCTGTCTTTTCATGTAATTTAGAATTGGTTCTGGGCTGATTTTTTTCACATCTGATCACTCTTACAGCCTTTCTAAGAAATGATTCCTGATTTTTTTGGAGGGTGGCAGGTACAGCATGATAATGACAAGCAGGCAAAAGAAACAATGGTATTTATAATGACTTACATAATGTAATAACTGTCAGGGTCTGTCAGAGCTTCTGCAACAGAAAGCCGTCCTGATTCACGGAAAGCTTTAAGCATTTTGCTGAACGCTTTAGCAGATTTGACTGTTGCAATATTCTCAGCCTTAAGGTCCTCAGTCAGGTTAGCAGCCAGGGATTTGGGCTGTGATATGTATTTCAGGCCATAGACAAAAAGGAAAAAAAAACAACACAAAGGTAAGATAAAAGGTCAGTCAGATCTGTTTAGTATAAATGCAACATGAAATTAAGTTATGACTTTTGTTTTTGCTCAGTGCTATCAGTTTCATTTCCGGTTAAAATGGACGCTAGACAGCGGCGCCGTTCGGAACAGCAGCAAATTTTTTGCTTCTGCCGGACGGTGGCCGATGCATTTTTGCTCCATTTGTAGACTGGATATAGTTTCGTCGCCCAGCTTCTGAGTTGAATGCATGGCGTGACCCTGTGAGCTGCGGATTGCATTTGGAATGTTTTTTTTCGACTGTGACCAACGTGGTGGTGTGAATTGTAGATTCAGAAAATGGCGCGATGCCTGTCGTTCAATGCTTGCGGGACCCGTATTAAAATTGATCACGCGGACAACTGCTGATCTGTTGACGACAAGTTCTGCTATCATCAATGATGAACTGCATTTCTAATGTTGGACTGTTTGTGTTAGCACTTCGGATGGCTACCATATGCTCTAATGCGAGAGTATGCTAGATATGCTGAGACAGCAGTCTGTCAATCTTTCCACAAGGGACTGTGATAGACATTCTGAGTGTTTTTCGCTGGCACAGGAGCGGAGCAAAGATGGGGCAACCCGTTTGCTATGAAGCTGAAACTAAGACTACCAGACTACCAGACTACCAGTTTCATTGTGCCCTACGTAGCCTGCATTGTTTCTTGAAGGTTCTTCCTATGACTGTTGCAATCCAATATATTTCAAGACCACAGCACTGTTACAATGAAACAACCAGAAAAGATGTATCTAGCTGGTTATGTGTCATAGAACACTTGTCCTGCAGTAAGGTGCTGTCGTCGTCTGGAGGTAGCAGGTTCAATTCCTGGCATGGCAACTACAGCTTTTGATTTTTATGATGTCTAGTATGTCCTATTTTCTTTTTTTCTTTCTATGAATACCAGTTAATAGATGTCAGTCTGTTTTCATGGCCTTATCTGTTTATTTCTTGTTATATTTAACAGCACTGTGATAAAAGACAGGTACACAATACTGATTTTTAAATATGTCTTCTTTTTTTTTTTTTAGTGTTCAAATGTTGCAAACTCGGGCGGGACATTTTGGTTGTTCATCCATTTCTTGATTTTCGTCTTGCTTTAGAACATGAGTTTTGTGTGCACATCTGCTTGACATGTCTGACTAACTTGTATACAAGAAGACCCTTGGTTGCTCACCTCTCAGGCAGATGCACTTCAACTTAAAAAAAAAAGAACCTCAAATTAGTTGGCTTTTATACCATGTTCTCTCCTGTGCAATCAGTTCAATATCATAGATGGAATCCAGTCCAGCAGCTTTGGCCTCTCTCATCCATGTTCGCCTTAGGGTTTCTTCTGAGCGTAATTGCCTCCTTAATCCCATTATTTCACATTTTATTTTGTTGCCCAGACATTTCTCTTATTTCTTAACTCCTTTTGAATTCATTTCTCTCTCTCTTTGGAGACAAAAATTTCAGCTTTTCTTTTGGTTCCATTAGGTCTTTTTGTCATTTGACGTTTTAACTGATGTTGATTCTTTCTTCTATAGCATTGTTTAAACATGTCAGTATTGGTATCTAAGGAGGTAGGGTTTCGTCTGTTCCTTCTTGCTATGTGGTTTGGTTTAGTTCCTGGCTATGTCAGGACACATGTGGAGGCAATGATTAAGTTGCTGTTTTTCAGTTCCATCCTGCCTCCATCATTGCCAGGTTGCTGACTGGCTGGTTCTTTCTTCTCTTATCCCTGTCACCCTTTCCTCTCTCACTTGATGTTATCTAGGTTTCTGGTAAACAATGGTTGTTTAATCTTTTCTTTCCTTCCTTCCTGTTGTTTCTGTTACTCCTCTCTGTCTGGCGTCCTCTGTATTGCTTGATGCTTGGGATTTGGTTGGTCTGTTTTCATGGATGTTTTCTTATGTTTCTTCTCTCTCCTAATTTCTTCTCTGGTCTTGTTCTCTTCAATCTTCGTTTGTCTTGATGCTTTCTGGAGGAAACACTCTGTTCATTTCTGCATTGAATCTTTCTTCTAACTCGTGCTGCTTGTCAGTAGACTCTTCAACAGGCTTGTTAGCTTGGTCATCGGTATAACCATCTGACTTCTTAGTTGTTATAGTGTTCTTTGAGGTGGTTGTCTCTACTGCCAAGATATCTCCTAGTGTATCATTCATAGTTGTTTTCGATGATTCAGTTGTCTTCCAGTTACCTTTGACACTTTTTCCCCTCACAGTGGTGCTTTTATTGTATTTTCTTCACTATCAAAATACAGAAAATCTAAATAAGTAAAATGATTTGTTACTTTAATTCACTTTGTCTCTAGTGTTAAATCTGCTTTGTTGTTGGTGTCCTTTCATATGGTTAAAATATTTCACGTGTCTCTCTCTCTCTCTTTTTTTAAAATAAATTTCCTACAGCAACACCAGAACCTCTGATATTTAATTTTGTTATTTCCAAGAGATACGACTATCATTATCCATAAGGATTAGAAACAACTTGAACAATACAGTCATGGATTAACACAATAATAAATGGTTATAATCATTCAACCAAGACAATATGCAATATCTCAGGGACTCATGATAATGATTATCATTAATAAATGACATGACTTTCACTGAAACAAACTAATATATGCTTGGTATCTTCTTTAAAAATTTTTTTTTTAAAATAATAAAACTGAAGGGTACAGACGCTAACCCCTCCTTGTTGTGCACTGATAAATCAAATATTAGAACTATATTCACACCCAGCCATCACTGTCACCAATGATAGATTTTCAAAATTTTTTTTTTTTAATTTATTTAACATGCTGATATTTCTCCCTAGTTTTTTTTTTTCAGATACTTTTTTTTCATTCTGTAATTTAGCCATTTATCTCAATATTTTCTCCTATTGCATATGTTTAGTTTCTTGTTGACCTTGGCTGTTCATAAATTCTGTTATGTTTCCCACTTAAGTTTCTAACCACAGTTTATGTTGTTATTTTGTGTTTCACTTAGTTAGTCTTTCCTCTTGTGTCGAGTGCGGCACACAGGGCAGAGGTCATGACTCTCCATGCATGGCGGTTCGTTGCAATCTGTTGTAGGTCTTGGATGTTTGAGTGGCCCATGAGCGAGCCTTCCCTGATGATAGTTCTACGAGATCTTTTCCCCTGTGGTGTCCAAATGAGGGCTTTCACTGATTAAGACAATTTTTTTTTCCAATTCCGTCTAATCACAGTTTGTGTTGAATTTTGTTCTTCATAGATAAAGACTGGTTGAAATCATCAACTGCATTTGTGCACATCTTTTTCTATTCCCTCTCTGATCTTTCTAGTCTTGGTGTGTGTGTTGTATTTAGTACTTCTTGATATCATTGCTCCTCATGTGTGTTCTGGGGGTCTTACTGCGGGAAATCAAGAATAGACCAAGTGCCCCCTAAAAAGCATACTGTACAAAAGTCAGCTAATTAGAGGTGCTGCCTTCTAAATCGGAGCGCATCTGCTTGAGAGACAAAGAACCAACAGTCTGCATACAAATAAGTCAGATCTGTAAAATGAATGTGCATGCATAACTCGAGTACTGGAACACGATCAAAGTTCAGACAGTGGACAAACAAACAGAACTTTCTGCGGGAGTTCACATCCGGTGATGCTAAGGAAAAAAAAAGATCTTTCTAGTCAGTCTGTATTGTGTTAGTACTTCTTGATATCACTGTCACTATTTGAATACATGATTTAAAAAAATAAATTTATCAAAAGGAAAGCATTCCTTAGCCACAGAATATCAGTTATAGAAAAGCACAAAGTAAAGGACCTTGTTCCATGCCTTCTCGTATGGGGCATATAGGGCTAAACCTATATTATATAGTTAATCGGCACTAGGTGGGCAATGAAGTCAGCACCACGCCAGCCGTTTTTTACTTTCCAGGACTGTAACTGGTACCCAATCAAGGCTAGATCAATCTGGGAGCCAAGGGAGTTTAAAAAAAAAAAAAAAAGCTTGCTCTGTCAGGACATGAACCCACAACCTTCCAATCTGCAGATGAGCATCTAGCCGCTACACAGAATGTCAATTGGTCTGTATAACTGGACTAGCACTACACACCCAGGATGCCTCATGGTTATTTTATGTTGACTTTATAAGGCTGGGTCAATCCTAAAGACAAAAACTGGTGGGGAACAAATCTTGACATCTCTGGAGGATTGAGGGGGGGGGGGTGGGGGAGGTGTACTCTCCTCTTCTTCTTTTGTGTTCGCCTTTAAAAGGACGGTTGGCATATTGCGTTGGAGTTAACAGCTAGTCTGTGATATCTGTGCCTTTTGGCCTAACACATCTGATTTCAGTAAACCCCTAATTAGTTGCCTTTTATGACATGCTTGTTGGGGGTGGGGTGGGGGGAGAGGGAAGCAGTGGGTCAATTCTTTTTTATACCCCAAAATGGAGCCCTATAACCCACATGGGAGCTCGGGGGATTTAAGCTGAACCACATACTGTGTTGGTATGTAAGCACACTAACCATTAAGTCAAGACAGCTCCTACACTGGCAACCAAACTATATCAAATCAACCTACAGATATGCATCCTTCTGTGCAATGCTGGATCTCTTCTTCACTGGGAAGCAATGTCATTGTGTACTTTAAACCAGTTTCTGTAAAGATAAATTATAAAATGCACAGCATTTAAAAGAAAAAAAAAATGAAAATCCTATTATGTTATATTATCACTAGACACATCTTTGGACGCTGGGCATTCCCATGCGTGCTCAGTCCTTTGATGCAACAGCCACTCCAAGGTAGCTATACTGATTGTTCCCATGAGGAGTTGGTTAGAATGTCTCCTGTCTTTACCTTGAAGACGGTACAGACGTGCTTCACCAAGCTTAACTCCTTGGTCAAGCAGTCGGGTTAACATCAGAGATTCGCCATTATCCCCTCAACCTAGTCTGTACAGCGTTGATGATATCAGCTCTGCACATTGACTATTCACAAATAAATCTTGCACAATTTAATAAGGTGTTTGTTTACTCCGTAATCCTGTAGTACCTTCCATATTTTATCCCTAATAACTCGATCAAATGTTTTCTCTTGGTCTACAAACGCAACATGTAATTCTTTATCAAATTCTACCATACTTTCCACTAATTGTCTAAGTATAAATATTGCATCGGTACAACTTCTTTTCTTATGAAATCCTATTTGTCCTTCACTAGGTGAAGTTGCAGTTTGTTGATAAGGCATAGCCTTTTTTCAAGGATCTTACCAAATATCTTCCTAGTTTGGATCAGTAACGAAACACCTCTATACTTTTCAGTCTCTCTTGCTGCCTTTCTTCTTCTGGATGGGTTCTATTACTTCAGAGCTTCTCTGTAATCACTGCTGACTAGAAAGACCTTCAATTATTCACTAGCGTTAATATGATTGAAGTTTAATTTCACACAGTGACAGGAGGTTTTAAGGTTTTGAACAACGGATCAACATCACGGCATATGGGTGTAACCCAAAGTGCTCCGTTCTTCTTCTAACTCAAGTCTGAGTCCGAAAAAGCTCAGCACAGTGCACAGGCTCTGTAGCACCTGTGAGGATCCTGAAATACTTTGGGTAGATTTGGGTAGACACAGTGATAAGAAAAACAAAATGTAGTTTTACAGGACTGAGCAACTGATAACACGCTTAGCACCCACCTTTCTCCAACTGCCGTACGGCTTCAGCAGCACTAGAAGCCAGTGATAAACCATCATGTTCCGACTTGTACTGAAGATTCTGACTGCATTTGAAAGGTGAAAAAAACAAAACCTTGACAAGTATGAATGCAGGCTCAACAAATGGACTTTATTCACATGTTGAAGGAAACTGATTTATCTTTGTGATGTCTGCATTAACTTGTAAAGTATTAGATTAGGTATTTAATGGCCAGGAATGCTGGCTTTAGTTTGTTTCGTTATATTTTGGTTATAATTTCAAATGACTAATTTCTTATTTTGATTCTTAGTGTTAAGTATAAACACTGTGGTACTGCATTATGTACAATATGCATACTAACTAAACAGTGACTATTTTAGCTTACTGACCACAAATTAAATAACTAGATGCTTCTACTTTTTCTTCTTAGCATTCACCAGCTGTAAACGATGGCAAAAAGGTCTGCTTGGTTATCCACTTCTGGCCTTTGGTCTTGTTCTAGAATTTCAATTTTCCTTGTATATCTGTTTTACGGGAGTCGCCATGGCCGAGCGGCTAGACGCTCACTGCAGATCGGAAAGTCATGGGTTCACTCCCTGACGGAGCAGGACTTTTTTAAAAAATGACCTTGGCTCCCAGGTTGACCTAGCCTTGAGCGGGTACTTTTTTTTAACTTTCTGTTTTACAGCTCTGCTTTATCTATATGCAGACTGCTGGTTGCTCCCCTCTCAGGCAGATGTATTCAGACTTGAAAGGACATATCCCTAATTAGTAAACTTTTATGGAAGGCTTGTGGATGCAAAGGGGGAAGAGAGGGGGTGTCAGTGGTTCCGGAACTCAGACAGGGAGAAAATAACTAGACCAAAGGCTAAAGGACTTTGTACCATGCCAATATGGTTTACTTAAAACATGGATTTGGGAAGATTCGAAATTCAAACGAAAGGCAAAAAGGACATGCAACCAGACTGTTATTGTTAGCAATGGAATCTGAACTCTGCACTAGCTGCTAAAGATGGGGATAGGGCACTTATGGGAATCTGGTGAGTGCTGGGTTGTTGGTTTCTAACATGACTTATTGAAAATATGAAGGTTCAGCCCATTTTCTTTCTAACCAAATAGCATCTGAGAAGTCTCAATATCTTGCTGAACATTTTGTCTCTAATTGTCCGGTATTCATTTTACTGTATAAAAACTTGGCAATATGTGGTTACCAAAAAAAAAAAAAAAAAAAAAAAAAAAAAAATACTAATGTTGAGGACAATTTGAATCCAATGACTATTGGAATACACAAGCAAACAGGTCTGGCCATCAGCATTTTAAAAAGTAAAGTAAAAGTCTCTTGTCCACGCCTTTAGGCACCCGGTACCCACTCAAGGCTGGATTGTCCTGGGAGTCTAGGTCTTTTTTGAAAAAGTCTGGCTCTGAAAGGGAGCAAACTCCTGACCTTCCTATCCGTACACGAGCGTCTAGATGCTACTCTACAGCGACTCCCCATCAACATTTTGGTGGCAACCAACTGTATGGATAGGTGTAGGACAAGCATCACAATACAGCCTTCAAAGAGGCCTGTGGTCTTCTCATCCGAAAACTACTGGCAGCAAGGAGGAGGAGAAGAAGAAGAAGAACACTGAATTTCTCAAAACACAAGATCAGGATGTAAACATAATGTGCATGTAACTGACCTAGAAGTGGCTGCTCCATTCAGTGCAGCCCTGATGTTTAAGTAAGTTATGACCCGTTGGTTGCCGGAGACACTTTCAATGATGGAATCTCTCAGTCTGTATAGCTGGTTAGACTTGATGTACACGGAGGTACCTAGAGCCTGCAAGCAATTAAATACAAATGTTAACTCTTTCAGTCCCAGGGGGATTAGCATCAGAGACCCAAGGTGAAGTAATGAGAGACATAAAATCAGCGCATCTTGCATACACTGGGCTTCTAGGTAGGAACCTATGAACATATGCAGTGTGACTGAAAGAGCCAAAAAGGGCACTAAATTAAAGCATGAGACAACATATCAAAGTGCCTGCTTACCAAGACAATAGTGTGGGTTGAATCTCTAGAAGCAACAGAATTCATTTTTCTGATCAGTACAGTTTTTCGAAGGAGGGGCTGGCCAAACAGTTAAGAATGCTGGACTCATGTGAGAGACCTAGGTTTCAATCCTCTGTAAGGTCGAGGATTTTTTCTGATGGGCTAACAATTAAATTGTAACCTTCAGCTTGGGGTGACAGCACTAGCCATGTGGCCCTAAATCTTTAGGCTCACATATTGGCATTGCCTACACTGTAGAAGTGGTAAATAAAGGCAGTAATTGGCAGATTTATTTTGTTTTTGTTGACAACTTTTTGGGAGGTCATCTGAGCCTCATAAAATAGATACTGGATGTGTTTCAGAATATATAAAAAATTAACAGGCAAAAAAAAAGTTAAAAAAATGTTAAAAGTTTGAAATTTGAACAACGGATCAACATTATGGCACACAGGTAGTAACCCATAAGTGCTCAGTTCTTCTAATTCAAGTCTGAGTCCAAAGAAGCTCAGCACAGCGCACAAGCTCTGTAGCACTGGTGAGGATCCTGAAATACTTTGGGTAGATTTTTAACTCCAAATTTTGCCCGGGCAGCGCCGATAAGCTACTCTTTTCAATTTCTAACTGCCAAAGGATTTTTGTACGTGCACATCGATGCACACGGGTGTCCGATCGCACTTCCCAGAGACCAGGGGGAATTACTAGAAGTCCAAGTCCATGTGAAAAAATCCCAGCCCTTACCAGAGATTTAACCCGGAACCTCTAGCACTCGAGGCTGACACCATGCCTCGAGACCACATAGCTCCCTTGTTCCAGAATACATGAAAGCCCAATATTTCACACCCCATAGGCAGTAAGTATATGCCACTGGACTCCTTTTATTAATACTCTGAAACCCTGGAAGTTAACCCAGTAAACAAACGCTTGATGAAGTGAGGTGTGTAGGCACAAACATCGCAGCCTTGCTGTGAATAGGCACAATTGCATGACTTTGCATGACTTAGACAAATAAAAAGAAGAAGAAGGAGTCCCTCTGAATCAGACATGATATACATAGTGAGATAGGATGTGTTACCTGAAAAGAAAATGACTCTTAAATGAGTTTTTAAAAATATGTGTAGAGTGTTATTCACTTTTGGCTTTTAATGGTATGGCTTATGCCCCCTCCCCTCACCAACTGAATACTTCTTATCTACATAAATATTTCCTTTTTTATTTTAAAGATACCAACGGTTAACAAAGTTTTAAAAAACTATGTGCATTTTTTAAATTAACTTTTGGCTTTTTTTGGGTTTGTTTTAGTTTTTGGTACATTTTATCTGTCCCCCAACCACACTGAATACTTCTTATCTATAAAAACATTACCTTTATTATTTTTTTTTTAAATCTTCTCTGCAACACAAGAAAATATAAGCTGTTAGTCAGTTTTTAATAATAGTTCATGCATAGTTAATTGTTGAACTTTTTTTGTGTGGCACCACAGTATTATTACGTTGCCTTACTAATATAAAATTCTGAAGCTCAACTCTTTATTGCGTCAAATATATTCTCCCTTTCCATCCTTCCCAACAAGAATGGCAACAAAGGTTTTGGTAAGTTTAAAAAAAAACAAAAAAAAAAACAATTGAGAATGGAAATTAGTCAGCCCTTCTCATCTTCTTTTTAGCACTCACTGGCTGTGAACTCCAGTGGGAAGTTCTGGTTGTCCATTCATTTCTAAACTTTGGTCTTGCTTCAGGGTTTGAATTTTACCTACATGTCTGTTCTACAGTCTGTAACTCCTCACTTTACAGGCAGATGAACTCTGACTTCGAAACAAACACCCTTAATTAGTCACATCTTTCTATTACACATTTGTTAGGGGGCAGTGGATATTCTCCCCCCCCCCCCCAACTCCTTTTATACCCAAGAGGGCTCTGGAACCCAAACATGGATTTAAAAAAAAAAAAAACTTATCATGAACTTGCCCGCACGGCGAGAGTTCCTTCCCTTCCCATTCATTCCGCGGCGATTCGCACGGCCTGTCCTATTTTGTGGGGGTGTCATGATAGGTTTCGTTCGGCGTTCGGCTGGGGCATATAATGTTTGTGGAAGATTGTGTTGTCGTGAGTCTCTCTAAAGCCCCGCAGGTGCCTGTGCACAAGTAAGAGGTACTGCATGGCTGCATGGGGAAGTGCTGAAGGGGCGACTGTTCATGAAAATCAAAACTGGGATGTTTTTGTACTTCTACGTTACTTGGTGGTGGCTTCCCCCCACAAAAAAGGAGCCATTGACAAGAAATGTAGGAATACAAAAACATCCTCGTTTCCATATTACTGAACCACTGGGCAAGAAGCACAACATGGAAATAATTCTGCAAGTGAGCGGTGACAACAAGAGAAAAGAAATAACGATTAAACTATTGAAAATAAGAAATACATGAACACCCGCAACAAAGGATAGGCTGTACGACCCGCCGTGGCATGAATGGGAAGTGCGGGTGGGTTCATGATAAGTTCCAAAAAACTAATAATGAGCTGTCAACTAATATTAGTTTACCTTGTTTGTGTTGGAAAACTGTCTAGCTATTTCCAAGTTCTTGCAGTTTGACTTGGTACGGATGACCTCATCAGGCTTATTGGAGTTATAGGAGACCTCACACTCTCCACTGACATCCACCTTTTATAGCAATCAAAAGAATTAATTAATTATCATTTACTTCATTACTAACAAGTTTATCTTAAGAAAACCCAGTGATCAGATGGAGATATTTACTCTCTGAGACTGCTGCTTGCCAGTTCTTAATATTATCCTCCCAGATGTACTGCTGTCTGCCTCTTGCTCGCTCGCCTTCAACTTGCCCCTCCAGTATAGTTTTTATAAGAGTGTAACACTTTCTTTTGTCTCTTCAGATCCTCTGTATTTGAAAGATTTTCATTTCCATGAAATAAGACCCATTCTTCTGTATATCCACACCTCTAAAGATTCAACAGGATTTTTGTTATCCACACCTCCAAAGAATCAATAGGGTTTTCTAACTGCTTGTTCACTGTAAAGGTTTTTGCACAATACAGCAGGCTTGAGTACACTTAACATCTGACGACATCACAAGTCATGAGTTCTGTTTATCACAGTCACAATTTTATTCCAATATATTGGATGTGAAATAAAAGCTGAAATATTTAGACCACATCAAGCGCCATGACGGATTAGAAGAAAATTATGGCAGAAGGAATGGTACCAGGAAAGAGGGGCAGGGACTGACCAACATGCAGATGGGCACAGGTTATAAGTGACATCTTGGATATGGAAAGTACACAAAGCGGGAGAGCTGGCAAAAGACCGAGTTTTTTTCTGGCAGACCATAACGAGAATGACGTTTCTGCAAAGGACCTGCTAAATGATGATGATAGGTGTGAAAAAATCAACATCATCATCAGGCGCCTTGCTGACTGGAATGGGCGATCATGCCTCTCCACACACAAGCTGCGATCTCCTGCAGCATGTATCAGTTCGTGTGTCGACACACCTCCATGCCTTGCGACAAGACTGTCAAGAATCTTCTCTCGTTGTCTTTCTCTATCCCTCCTTCCACAGATCTTTCCAGAGGTCACAACATCTTCCATTTTTGCTCTTCTCATAACATGGCCGAAAAATGATGACGGTCTCCTTCTGAAGTCTGTGATCAGTTGTCTTCAGGCTCCCGCCTCTCTCAAAACCCCTTGGTTTCTCTTTTTGGCTGTCCAAGATATTCTAAGCATTCTTCTGTAAAACCACATCTCTGAGGCCTCCAGAAATTGTTAGGCCTGCCTACCGATTGTCCAGGATTCACAGCCATATGTTAAAACTGGATGTATGTAGCAAGCAAGAATTCTTTTTCTTACCTTCAATTACAGAGGTATATTGCCTAAGATGTTCTTCATTTGGTAAAGTGCAGTTTTTGCCTGTCCTATTCTGCTTATCTCAGTAAATCTTCTTCTTTTGTCAAAATCTGCTTGTGCCGCTAGGCGTCGCAGTCTATCAGATGATCGGCAACCGAGCCAGGGCGCGCTCAGTCGCTTCATATGCCGTGATGTTATGAAGTCTCAAGTTGTCAGTGACTCCTTCAATCCATCTTCTTCTTGGTCTTCCCCTGCCTCTTGGTGTTTCGATTTTCATGTTGTATGCTCTTGATGCTGGCATCGTTGGTTCCATTCTCATTAGGAGACCAAACCATTTCACTCTTTGCTTCTCAATAAATTTAACGATGGGTATGGTTCCAATAGTTCTTGTAATCACATCGTTTCTCACTCGATCTCTTCTGGTTTCTTTCGCAGCCATTCTCAAACATCTCATTTCACAGGTGGTTAGTCTTCTCTGGTGTTCTTGTGTTAATGTCCAAGTCTGACATTGATAACCTAATGTCGGTATAAAGATTTCTCAGTAAATATGACGTGAAATAAAAGACTAATGTGTGTGTGATGATTGCCTTAGGAAGGAAACACAGAAAGCACACAAGAAAAGCTTCATGACATTTGATACAAAAGGTACACAATTCTGAACTGAAATAATTTGTAGCTGCTGATGAGTGGATCAGATTCACTGCACTAGGTTTTATCTTATATTGTTTTACAGTTGGTCAAGTGGGCATAGATTCTCCAACAAAGGAAACAAAAAAAGTGTTAATAAATAGCTCTGATAAGCAAAGACAGATAAATGTAAAAGCTATACAAGGTTTTTGAGCTGAAATGCTATAGAAAGATTCTCAGAATATCTTGGACAAAGAAGATGAGAAATATTGACATCTTAAAAGATTTGAACATCAAGGAAGATTGGCTAATAAACAGCATCCTTTCTCGAAAGTTGAAATATTTTGGTCATATCAAGCGCCACGACGGATTGGAAAAAATTATAGCAGAAAGCATGGTACCAGGAAGCAGGGGCCGACCGACACGAAGATGGGCACAGGATATAAGTGACTCCTTGAGTGTGAAAGTGCATGAGGCGGGAGAACTGGCAAGAGACCAAGTTTCTTTCAGGCAGACTGTGATAAGAGCGACGTTCTGCAAAGGACCTGCTATATGATGATGATGATACAAGGTTAGTCTTGATGGGATAATATAAGCAGTTCAATTCATCACTGCCTTATCTTTCCTAACTCACATCAAAGCCAAGTCACTACCATACATACGGATGTATTCCAGTTTGTGGGAAACTGATTTGAAATTATATAGTTCATTCTTGGCAGTCTGTCAGTCACATTAAGCAAGAAATTCAGTAGCTCCAAGAACAAGCCCCATGCAAATCTGACACATCTGAACTCTCAAAATGAAGGACAGAGACCAAACTTAAACCCGCAACCTCTAGAGCCATGTTTTTCAACTAGTGGGCTGTCGAAAAGTCCAGGTGGGCCAGACAAAATGTTCTGCCTCATCATGTAACGGGTAGAGTAGGCATTTTATCTCTTCCAGCAATGCAGTCTGTATGATTAACATCTTAATGATGAGTATCAAAAATGCAGTCTGTATGATTAACATCTTCATGATGAGTATCAAAAATGCAGTCTGTATGATTAACATCCTAATGAGTATCAAAAATGCAGTCTGTATGATTAACATCTTAATGATGAGTTTCAAAAATGCAGTCTGTATGATTAACATCTTCATGATGAGTTTCAAAAATGCAGTCTGTATGATTAACATCCTAATGAGTATCAAAAATGCAGTCTGTATGATTAACATCCTAATGAGTATCAAAAATGCAGTCTGTATGATTAACATCTTAATGATGAGTACCAAAAATGCAGTCTGTATGATTAACATCTTAATGATGAGTATCATAAGAATGCAGTCTGTATGATTAACATCTTAATGATGAGTACCAAAAATGCAGTCTGTATGATTAACATCTTAATGATGAGTATCACAAGAATGCAGTCTGTATGATTAACATCTTAATGATGAGTATCACAAGAATGCAGTCTGTATGATTAACATCTTCATGATGAGTATCACAAGAATGCAGTCTGTATGATTAACATCTTAATGATGAGTATCATAAGAATGCAGTCTGTATGATTAACATCTTCATGATGAGTATCATAAGAATGCAGTCTGTATGATTAACATCTTAATGATGAGTATCATAAGAATGCAGTCTGTATGATTAACATCTTCATGATGAGTATCACAAGAATGCAGTCTGTATGATTAACATCTTAATGATGAGTATCGAAAGATGTCGCATAAGCTGAAAATGTAATTTTGTGAAACTGAATTTGACATATTAACCACCTACATTTACTTTCGTTTCTGTGATTAGTTGTCGGGTGGGCCAACAAGAATGTTTCCCTGCTTTAGTGGGTTGTGGGGGTTTAAAGTTTGAGAAACACAATTAACTGTTTAACCATCTTGCCATGCACAGAAACATGTAACTCTTTACATCCTTATAAAAGATGCAACCAACACCATCATCTTCTTCTTCTTCACATTCAACAGCTCTAAAACTCCGCCACAAGTTCTGGCTGTTCATTCACTTCTGGACTTTAGTCTTGCTCCAGAACCTGTGTTTTGCATGCACAACAATTTTTCAGATCCGGTTTATTTGTATGCAGACTGTTGGTTCCTCACCTCCCAGGTGACTTAGAAGGAAACATCCCTAACAGCCAAATCCTACAACATGCACTTTAGTGATTCATGAAAAGTACATAAATAATTTGTACACTATTATAAACTAAACACAGACCTCTCTTCGATTTCCAGAATTTTCCTGAATTTGGAAAAGAGCCACAATTCCTTTTTTCACATTGCGACTAAATGTAGAGTCCTTGTTAGCAAAGTACAGATTTTCTACCAGATCTTTGTTTAGGTGGAACAAAACTGGAAGAAACAGAGACTCTTGTAAATCCTTGTTGACATTCGGTCGGATCGTGCTGGAAACCTGGGCTTTTTTAATCTGGTGGTGAGTACAAATAGAAAACAGATTATTAACACATGCACTGTGTAAGTAGCAAAAAAATTAACACATAAAATGTGTAAATAGCACACAGATTAAAACACAGGTACAACTAAGTTTTCTTGGCCCTGCTCAACCATTTACACACTGCGAAGCATTTCATTCATACTGAATCAGCCGAGTTGACTTCTCTAAAGTTCACAGGTTTCGCCGTGGCTGTGTCCGATCAGCGTCATCTTATGACACGCATTTACGACCTTAGGACATCTAGAACTCAGTCTCCTGTGACAAGAACTCTACACTACAGCAAGTTAGCGATTTTAACGATCGCGTAAAATCTGCTGCTGGGCCTAACCTAAACCCCTAGGTCCCACAATTTAGTGCATTCTACGTGTCGGTGCAGATATGGAACTCCACCCTCTGCAATAAACTTGTTGCCATCAGCACTGATAACTCCAGCAGATTCATATCATAGTTGTTGAATTCCCAAACACCACAATATCCGCAGTTATATAAGAATAGTGACTACACACTAATACAACGTTTAACTTCCTGCGCTCCAAAATATATGACACCCCTGGCACTTCCAATTTAGCGTCTGACAGCTTAAGGCGGAGACTAAATGTCCAATCACAGTGTCCTGTCCCGTCTTCGTAATTCATAAATCTGTACATGGGCGGGGCCAGGGGCCGGAAAAGTGAGTTGTTCCAAACACACACACACTCTGTATAAATAGTAAACATATTAACGCATAAACAGGCTGAAAAATTTGAATAGCAAATTAACCCACCCACCCGCACAAGACGGCAGGTTAAACCAGGCTGATGTGGCTGTTATTGGTGACCTAATTATAACTTCCATAGGGGTTGAACAGGCTGTTTGTGCTTGTCTTGCTGGTCTGCTATCAGCACTGAGATTCTTTAGTCACCTAATGTCAGAACTTTTGTTTCTGTTAGTCTGCCATTCAGATCGAAATCTGCTGATCTCAGGTAGCAGCTTGGAGGGGATAAACAGCCCACATATATGACAAACAAGTGCATATGTGTATATGTTGTTACACATCAAACCGTTCAACAAAATGCATACTGTGGGAAAAGGACCCTTTTCCATGCCTTTAAGTGTAGTGGGCATACAAGGCTATTACCTGTATTTTATATACCAATATGCACTCGGTGGGAGATATGGCCAACATCACATAGGCCTCCTTTACTTCCTAGGACTGTAACTGGTACCCATTTAGGGCTGGGTCGACCTGGGAGCCAAGGTCATTTTTTTAAAAGTCTGGCTCCATCAGGATCCAAACCCATGATCATCAGATCAGCAGATGAGCAACTAGCTGCTACATCACAGTGACCCTCCAAAGAGAGTGTGTACACATTATAATTTCCTCTGCGTTCACCATTAAAAAGATGGCATGGAGTGTTGTAATATACAGCTAGGCTGAGATATCAGCTTCTTTTGATCCAATACATCTGACCTCAGGAAACCCTTTATTTATCCCCTTTTACATCAAGCTTGTAAAGGTTCTATTCTTTCACATCCCCCTCCCCCATTCCCAAACAAAACCTTGAAAACGCACAGGGAACAATGTAACAAATTTTCTATGATTCTAACCAAAGTGATTTAATAATCTGACTACTGAAACTTGTTTTTTTTTTTTTTTTTTGGTTAACAGTTCGTTAAAAAAAAATAAAAACATTTCCAATAAATACTTCAAAAGTATTGCTTTCCTTTATTTATAAGGCAGCAAATACAAAAATTGTACATATAACTTTAGGACTGTTTATTACATTACTGTAATGTAAACAATAGGTTTTTATAATCCTTGATACAATTAAAACATTTGAAAATAAAAAAACAATATATAACACAATCAACATTATTTAAAAAAAAAAATATATATATATAATACTACAGGGTTTTGCTACAACAGGTTCCACACACAAAAAGCAAACAAAAAGTGTTATGTCAATATATAGCCCTATAAGCAAAGACAGACAAATATAAAAGTTTTACAAAGTTAGTCTCAAAGGGATAATATAAGCAGTTCAATTCTTCATTGCCTCATCTTCTGTAACCCACAACAAAGACAGATTATGCATGGATGCATTCCAGTTTGTGTGAAACTGATTTAAAACTAGTCACAAGAACAAAACAAATGCAAAACATTAGTTGGAAAACAAGGGAACTAACTGGCAGGCCCTCTGTCAAAGTAACTTTGTTTAATCAGTTCACTGTGACTATCAGAAACCAACACATTTGTATTGAATCCTTCAGTAGAAAGCTGATGACAGTTTAACTTAATCTGTTCTTCTTTTTTTTTTTCTTTATTTATCCGAGGATATAATTGTATTGTGCCAGTTTGCAGCACGGCTGTGAAATCTTCTTCTTTGCATTCACCGGCTGTAAACTCTGGCGAGAAATTCTGGCTGTTCATCCACTTCTGGACTCTAGTCTTTACTGTTGCACACATCAGTTTTAAAGATCTGACTCTTTGTATGCAGACTGTTGGTTCCTTGCCTCTCAGATAGATGCACTCCCATTTCAAGGGAAGCTTCCAATAAGTTGACTCTTACAACATGCTTTTGAGTAGGTAGTGGGTCTGTTCTTGTTTTCCTGATAATAGGGCCCCAGAACCCCCACGGGAAGGCTGTGAAATGTTTTGGTGCCTTTTGGCCAACATGTCTAACTTTTGCAGGCACCTGTTGCCCGGGTTAGCCTTCCAGGATGTTCCAAGAAGATTTAACCTTAAGCAATAATTTTTAGGGTCTGATGGATTCTTTTTCTTCTTCGCTTTCACCAGCTGCAAACTCTGGCGGAAAGTTCTGGTGGTTCATCCAATTCTGGACTGCAGTCCTGTTCCAGAACCTTAGTGTTGCCATCCGTTTTACAGATCTGACTCATTTGTATGCAGACTGCTGGTTCATTGCCTCTCAGGCAGATGCACTCCGACTTTGAATAAAGCTCCCAGTCAGTCGACTCTTACGACATACTTTTGGGTAAGCAGTGGCTCTGTTCTTGTTTTCCTTGTAACAGGGCCCTGGAACCCACTCGGGGATCTGACGGATTGGATAACAGTAAAAAAAAAATACTTAAAGCAAGAGCTGGGAAAAAATGTTTGTTTTACAACCTGATAGGTCATAGTTCAGAATGGAATGCCATGACAGTTAGTTAGTAAGTTAGTCAACAGATTATCCTCACTGCACATTGAACCATTGAGTCGATAAGTTCTTGGATTCCCTCCTTAGTAAATCCCGCAGCCTGTAGTGGCTCTCGACACCAATTCTCTGTTGGTTTCTTATTCTTCTTTGGCTGCCTGGATACCATGACAGTTGACGTCAATAAAGGTATGGTGAGATGGTTGCTTGACTGAATGGACCAGATGGCCTCACTGTAGACTTTTCTCCCAACCCAGAATAAAGTAGCATCTTTAATGGGAATGTGTAACAGAGTTGCATTTCCCCTCTCCCAGCACAGAAATCAATGAGGTATGTAAGACCTACCAGAACTTTACACTTGTAATAAAGGATATCAAATATTCATTGCATCACCATACAAACTGCATGGACTGACCAAGATTAGGCAGAGGCTGGTGATTTTCCTTTCACAAGAACTTGTCGACTTCAGTCTTGCTCTAGAACTTGAGTTCTGCGTGCACATCCATTTTACAGACCTGGTTTATTTGTATGCTGACTGTTTTTTCTGTGTCTCTTAGGCAGATGCACTCCAGTTTCGAAGGAGAACATATCAACAACAACTTCCATTTTTGCTGTTAAGTGTTGTAGGGAGGAACTGTGTAGTGTCTCTATTGGCAGTTTGTGGCAGCATTATAACTACATGACCGAATCATTTGATTTACTTCTCAATTAATACGGCACAAGGTATTGTTCCCACAGTGTGTCTAAGAGCAGAAACGCATTTCTCACTTGACTTCGGATAGTTAAATTGGAGGCTTTCATCGAGGATCTCATTTCACGTGTGTTATTTGTTTTTAATGTATTCTTAACTGTTAGGGTATAGTCCAAGTCTTCTCCCCATATAACAATAAACACTGTGATTAGTTGCACTTCACACATCTCCAATTTTAACTGATAAAACACTTTAGTTTTACCCAAAACAACACTTAATTGTTACAATACACTACATGTTGTGGAATGCACTCTTTGGTCATCCCGGCTCTCTTCATGCATTCAATTTCCCACCTGTGACTGTTATTGTAGAGTTTGCATGGTGCATCTCGAGTAAATTTTAAAATTGTCGGAAGCCCAAAGACAGTTGATCGTGATCGGCCTGCACCATTTGGAGATGCGAACGATAGGCACATGGGGAAAAAAGACTAATCCAAAATCTGGCTGACTGGACGAGCCTCAAATACAATGACATGCACCTGACCGCCTGAAGTTGAAAGTGTGTATATATATATATTTATATATTTATATATTGGTGTAGCGGCTAGACGCTCGCCTTGGTGTAGCGGCTAGACGCTCGCCTTGGTGTAGCGGCTAGACACTCGTCTTGGTGTAGCGGCTAGACGCTCGCCTTGGTGTAGCGGCTAGACACTCGCCTTGGTGTAGCGGCTAGACGCTCGCCTTGGTGTAGCGGCTAGACGCTCGCCTTGGTGTAGCGGCTAGACGCTCGCCTTGGTGTAGCGGCTAGACGCTCGCCTTGGTGTAGCGGCTAGACGCTCGCCTTGGTGTAGCGGCTAGACGCTTGCCTTGGTGTAGCGGCTAGACGCTCGCCTTGGTGTAGCGGCTAGACGCTCGCCTTGGTGTAGCGGCTAGACGCTCGCCTTGGTGTAGCGGCTAGACGCTCGCCTTGGTGAAGCGGCTAGACACTCGCCTTGGTGTAGCGGCTAGACACTCGCCTTTTTTAGAAATAGCCTTGGCTTCCAGGTTGACCCGGCCTCGAGTGGGTACCAGCTGCAGTCCTGGGAAATGCTGACCACAACGTCCACTAAGTGCCGACTGGTCTATACAAATATAGGTCTAGCCCTATATGCC